GGCCTCCCAAAGTGCTGGGATTACAGGCGTGAGCCACTGCGCCCGGCCTAGCTACTATTTTATTATGCTGCCCAATCTTGACAAGCAGCAAGATATAGTAATAATAACAGCAATAGTAGTAATGACTATTTTGTTTAGTAGTTATTAGGTGCCAAGAACTAGATGCCAGTATACTAACTGACTTTGTGGGTTTTTTTGAGACAGAGTCTCACTCTGTTGCTTGGGCTAGAGTGCCATGGCGTCAGCCTAGCTCACAGCAACCTCAAACCCCTGGGCTCAAGCAATCCTCCTGCCTCAGCCTCCCGAGTAGCTGAGACTACAGGCATGCACCACCATGCCCGGCTAATTTTTTCTATATATTTTTAGTTGGCCAATTAATTTCTTTCTATTTTTAGTAGAGACTGGGGTCTCACTCTTGCTCAGGCTGGTTTCAAACTCCTGACCTTGAGCGACCCTCCCACCTAGGCTTCCCAGAGTGGTAGGATTACAGGTGTGAGTCTAACTGACTTTTTATAACAGCCTATTAGGTAGATATTATGATTAGCCCAAATTCTCTTAACTGGTAAGTGAGGGAGCTGAAATTCACATGCTGGTCAACCTGATTCCAAAGTTCAAGGCATGATGGGGTTGAACCACCATGTTCTACTGTTTTCTCTTTGGGAGAGAGAGTCAAGGAGTCAAGACCCATATCCAAACTGCTGTAGCATCTGTCCTTTCTCAAACGCTTACCTATCTTAACTTGGACATCTAGGCCTTCTTCAGATTCCTGCGTCTCAAATAATCCATGGATCTCCTGGCTACATTTAATTACCACCGTGATAATGTTTTTCAGCTGCTTTCGCTCCACCTTCCACAGGGCTAGCAGTGCGTCACCTTTAAGAGAGAGACATACTGGGGGCCTTTGACCTTCCCTGGGGGGATCAGTTTTTTTTTTTTAAGACAGGGTCTCACTCTGCCACCTGGGCTAGGGTGCAGTGGTGTGATCATAGCTCACTGCAAACCTCAGACTCCTGGGCTCAAGCGATCCTCCTGCCTCAGCCTCCCAAAGTGCTAGGATTACAGGTGTGAGCCACCATTCCTAGCGGGGATCAGCCTATTTTGTATGAGATCTGTACTGAAACTTACTTGTCAAACATTCCTCAACCCACCTCCTGGGCACTACTTTCTCCGAGATGCCTCCTTTGAACACAGGCATCTCAACACTCCTTTCTTACCCCTCCCTTCTTAGTTAGCCTCCATACCTGCAAATTTTAGGATGTCTCCTCCATAAATCAACACTTCTGGGGGGGAAAAAATAAATTGATTCAATCAAACCCTGATTCCTTAAAGCTAGTAAAAAGAATTCATTCTTCATTAGTAGAATCAAAAAATGGGTCAAGAGAACAGCAATTCGGAAAATAGGCTTATACTAAAGATGTTATCTCAGATAAATCACTTAACCCATTTGGATCTGTTTCCTCAATTGTGAAATGAGTATGCTGAACCCAATTCTGTCTTTGCTCCATATCTGTGCATGCGGAAAGACAGGAAGGAAGGAGGACAGTGAGATTTCTGAGGACGCCTGAGGACACCTGCCTTCCTGGAGCTGTCACAATAATGGAATGCTTTTTATTGATTTATTGATCAACATATGTTACAGGTTGGGACTTGCCGTGGGTGGGTGGATGAGTGACAGGATTACACAGGAAAGGGGAGTTCGGAAATGGGGAAATCACCACCATGGTCAACTTGAGTTTTATTTATTACCAACTTGCATCTTGTTTATTTAGACTTTATAGTATAAATGAACATTTTTTTCTCTTAGTTGTGTGTCATCACAAATTCGTTGAGCACCTGTTGTTTCAAGTGGGATGCAAAAAGGAATTAGACACAGTTTCCGCTTTTACGGAGCATTAAATTTTGTCTAGTGGGTAACATTAAGATATTATGAGGGAACTTAGAGCCTACTGAGACACGCAGGCCTGGAGTTTACCTTAACAGAGTAAAATCTTTCCTTCCTGCATAATAGTTCAAGTTAACAATGCAAACGAGCTGGCAGTCAGAGGTCGAAAAGGGGACTAAACTTGAGTCAGTGCCTCAGTGTCCATCATTAGGTGACGAACTGACAAATCAGTTACAGATCGCTCTTTTCTATTTGTACAATCTCTGGCTGTGTTTGGGTTATACTGATGCTAGCTTTTTAAAACATTTGAATATATTGGATATAATAAAAGTATTACTACTACAGTTCTCTTAAAATCAGCTTGTAATTCAGCCCTTTAACCCAAAACATCCTTTCTCTCAAGTAGTCTCTTTTAGTGAGGCCTCATTCTATTTCCTCAGTTGTACTATATCACATTTCAAGAAGGACTGGTTTTATACACGCTTCATGGGGAAAAATGAAAAGTGCTAAGCAATTCTACTCTATTAGGTTATAGCCAACAACTACAGAAAAAGCAATGCATTGAAATATTCTTGAGCCGGGAACCTATGGGAAGACTTACTCTCCACAATTGCACTTAGGTAGTAGTTGAGGATCTCCACCAACTGCTCAGCCCCTCGGTCCATGTACATGGCTGTGCTGAACTTCTCAGTCATCGCGGTAAAACCTGTAAAAAACATGCAGCTGGTTTTCTTGGCTGCTTGGGGGAACCAAACGGGGCCGGAAGAGGGCCGTGCTGGCGGAGTTTCTTCTTAATGATCTTTGTGGCTAATCAAGTGTCAGACATGCAGCCCCCTCTATGTTTATTATTTTAGAGGTCAGGGAAAGGCTCCCGACGTCCTTTTTTCCAAATTCTCAACGGTCCGGCCATGACTGCAATTCCTGTAACTGGGAATAGAACTTTCATTCCGTGGTAACGAACACGTACAAATTTTAAATACTTCTGAGGAGGTGGCAAGTTTACTATTAAGATGTAAACATCATCTAGGGAGATCATTTTCTGAGGTCAATTTTGATGGGATGGGCGTGGGGCTTGGGACTCGGGACGATGCATTAGTGAAGTTGGGGCAGGGACGCTGGAACGTGAAGTTCCAGGCCTGGGACTTGGGCATCTTAAAGATATGCCCGTGACTGGAGGTGCAGGGTAAGGGAAGAGGAGAGCGAGCCAGGGCCAGAGGTTGTCCCCTCCCTCTGGTGCTCCCAGTGGGGGACATCTGTCGCAACAGCCCGGGGGCTGGACAACGGCCTCCCCACTCTGCAATCAGGCTGAGCTCTGCGTGTACTCTCCGATGTGAGCCTGTTGCTCAGCCCATGAAACAAACGCTCCTTTGCACTTGCCTGAAATATCAACAAACATCAGGACTCCATCAAAATAATCCATAGAGGGCCGCGTTGGGGAGATATTTCCATAGACAATGAGGTCCGGTAAATGCGCTGCTATTTTGATGATGGCCCGGTCCCGTAATTCTTCTTTCAGTTCGCTCATGTTCAAGGCTAGTGTTCAGTATTTTATGGTGGCAGGAAGCAGTCCCCAAATAGATCTTCTAGAAAGAGAAGTTGGGAATAGATGACATCTGACTTGCTCATTCGTTCGCTTTCCTATTTCTTTTTCTCCAGTTGCTCTGTTCTAATCCATGGACTGCTTATTTTGGTGATTGAATGGTGATGTCAGAGTTGTGGGGTCGCACTCCAAAGGGGCCAGTTTTCTATACAGGGGAAAAGCCCTCCAACCCTGAATAGCTGTTACCTAAACAAGCACCGTCACAAAGAGGCTGAAATGGAAGAGGGCGGCTGAAAGGGGTAAGCCCGCACAGTGCAAGGCCTGGGGCTGGGGGCCCCTAGCACGACTCGCTTAGGCCAGACTCCTTTTCCTTCTACGCTCATGTTTCCTTTTTCTCCTCCCCCTCCCATTTGGTCTCTTATCTTTTCTCCTTAACTTGTTTTGTTTTGTTTTGTTTTGTTTTTATTTATTTTTATTTTTTTTTTAATTTTTTTTTATTTTGGCATATTCTCCTTAACTTTTGAAAATTAAAAAAACAAAAACAAACATTGGGACACAACATGTTGTCTTTGGATAGAAAAATAAACATTTAAAATTTTATATATTAAATAATTAAAAAAAATACACACCAAAAACAAACAAAATGTATTGGGAATTTGAGGCAGGAGGATCCCTTGAGCCCAGGAGTTTGAGGTTGCAGTGAGCTATGATGATACCACTGCACTCTAGCCCGGACAACAGAGTGAGATCATGTCTCAAAAAAAGAAAAAGAAAAAGAAAAAATGAAGTGAGTTTATATGTGTGAATATTTATATGAAGGTGAGTAGAGTATTATATATAGACAGGAGATTAAGTCTAGTCTGTAAAGTTATAAATATAGAGAGGGAAAGAGTTCAAAAGAGTGTGTGCATGTAACTGCTGGAAAGCTGGACAGCCTTTAACTGTAAGCAGAAGGAAATGTTGAAATTTCAATTTGCTGCCCAGTTAGTGCAAAGAAAACTAGGATTTCCTAAGGCCTTCCTGTAGCTGCTGGGGCAGAGTAAATGCTCATGCTCAAATGTTGTAAAAATCATGCTCTACCAGCCTGAACAGTAATAGCCTCCCTAACTTTTTCAGTGTCATCCAAGTTTCCAGGATAGTTGATAAAGAAAATAAGAGATTTTTTTTTTTTTTAAAGGAACTGTTGGCCAAGCGTGGTGGCTCACATCTATAATCCTAGCACTCTGGAAGGCCAAGGCAGGAGGATTGCTTGGGCTCAGGAGTTCTAGACCAGCCTGGGCAAGAGTGAGACCCCGTCCCTACTAAAAATAGAAAACATTAGCTGGGCAACTAAAAAAAAAAATAGAAAAAATTAGCCGGGCATGGTGGCGTGTGTCTGCAGTCCCAGCTACTTTCTTGGGAGGCTGAGGCAGGAGGATCACTTGAGCCCAGGAGTTTGAGGCTGCTGTAAGCTAGGCTAATACCAGGGCACTCTAGCCTGGGCAACGGAATGAGTCTCTGTCTAAAAAAAAAAAAAGGAATTGTTATTGTTGGTTTAATTCTGGCCAACAGGAAGAAACTGGTTAGCAATTTCAACCAAACAGTGGTCATATTTGGATACATAAATGTATTAGAAAAAAAGTGAGATAATCACATATATTCCTTAGACTTAAGGAAAGCATTAAAAAAAAGTCAGGGAAAACATTAGTATATTGAACAAACTTTAAAATGTATAGAAACCTCTAAAAGTGAGTATCAAATATTAGATATTGGATAACACTTAAAAGAAAAAGACCTGGTGTAAACTCAAATATTAAAAAGTGAATAAAAGATAGAAGAAACATGTAAAGTTTAAAAAAAAGGGTAGCATTAAAAACTCAATAAAAAACTCTTTATTGACCATAGCATGTACTAGGAAGAGTTAATAGAAAACAAGTAAAACAAATAAATAATTTTAGATGGTGAAGTTGATAAGTGCTATATGAACTTTTAAGTAGAGTGTGAGAAAACTGAATACGCAGAATGTGCTGAGACTGAGGGGAAAAAAAGCCAAAGTTAAAAAAAAACCCAGAGGGGTTTTAAGCTTTATTGAAAGCAAGGAAACTAATGAAAGAGAAATAAGAACAAAGCTGAAATGTGGTATACTGCACAACTCTTCTTTTGTTTCTGCCTTCTCCACCACGGAGAATTGAAAAGTATAAAAATATTGCTAAGTAGGAATTGAAATTTGAGAAAGTAGTGATAAAGCACTCACCCAGTCATTTTAAATAAATTCAAGTAGCCATTCACAGACAATTTACACCCTCAAATACTTAAGGAACTGACAGATGTAATGTCAGTAATTTCAAAAAATAATGGAGAACAACAGATGGGGTAGAAAGCTGCAGATGGGCACATTCTCTTCTGAATTTCAAACGGTGAGTCTACATGTGGATTCCAGAAAACACAGACTGATAAATACGAAGTAGGCGTCAAGACAATTTAGTTTATGCTTCGTTAACAAATGGCCACCAAATCTCAATGGCTTGAAATAATAAAGGCTATTGCTCATATGATATGTCTGTAGTGGGTTGGCTGGGGCTCTCCTCTGTCATTGCCTTTGCTTGGGGACCCACGCTGGGACATTCTGGTTGTCAAGGCAGTGGGGAAGACCATACAGTACGGAATACTCATTCTCTTCCCAGAAGTGACATATTTCATTTCTACTCATGACATTGACCAAAGCAAGTTACATAAACCTACCTAACTTCAAGTAGGCAGGCAAGTACAATCCTCCCACGTATGCGACAGGAGAGAGAGAGAATTGGAGTATTTGTGAGCTGCCTCAATGGTTATTTAGATCAGGAAGAGGTGATTAAAAGGAATTCACAGCCAAGAGCAAGCTAACCACCTTTCCTTTCTTCAAAAAAGGTTTATTAAACTTTTAAATCAAGAGAATCCTATAGACAAAGTATATCTTGACTTTAACAAGGCATTTGACCAAATTTCTCATATCCTTGTGCATAATAGGAATGATGAAAATATAGTTAGGTGGTTAACAATCATACCTAAAGGATATTGATTTCTATTCCAATGTCAACTCAGAGGGAAGTCTTCATGGGCATGCTAGAGAACTTTGATAAAGATGTAATTGGGGCCAGGCGAGGTGGCTCATGCCTGTAATCCTAGCACTCTGGGAGGCTGAGGTAGGAGGATCACTCAAGGTCAGGAGTTTGAGCAAGAGCAAGAGCATGTCTCTACTAAAGCAAGAGCCTCTACTAGAGCAAGAGGCTCTAGTCTCTACTCTTGTCTCTACTAGAGCAAGAGCCCGAGCAAGAGCAAGACATGTCTCTACTAAAAATAGAAAGAATTAATTGGCCAACTAAAAATATATAGCGAAATAAATTAGCTGGGCATCGTGGTACATGCCTGTATTTCCAGCTGCTCAGGAGGCTGAGGCAGAAGGATCACTTGAGCCCAAGAGTTTGAGGTTGCTGTGAACTAGGCTGATGCCACAGCACCCCAACCCGGGCAACAGAGTGAGACTCTGTCTAAAAAAAAAAAAAAAAAAAAAAAAAAATATATATATATATATATATATATATATTGGAAGACAGCCATTAGGGAAAACAGTAGGGATGGTCCTTAAAAAATTAAAAACATAGGCCGGGCGCGGTGGCTCACGCCTGTAATCCTAGCACTCTGGGAGGCCGAGGCGGGCGATTGCTCGAGGTCAGGAGTTCGAAACCAGGCCTGAGCAAGACCCGTCTCTACCAAATATAGAAAGAAATTAATTGACCACTAAAAATATATATACAAAAAAAAAAAATTAGCCGGGCATGGTGGCGCATGCCTGTAGTCCCAGCTACTAGGGAGGCTGAGGCAGTAGGATCGCTGAGCCCAGGAGATTGAGGTTGCTGTGAGCCAGGCTGACACCACGGCACTCACTCTAGCCTGGGCAAGAAAGTGAGACTCTGTCTCAAAAAAAAAAAAAAAAAAATTAAAAACATAACCAAATGATTCAACAATCTCACTTGTGGGTATATCTATTTTTTTATTATTTATTTATTATTTATTTTTTTTATTTTTTGAGACAGAGTCTCGCTTGTTGCCCAGGCTAGAGTGAGTGCCGTGGCGTCAGAGCTCACAGCAACCTCAAATTCCTGGGCTTAAGCAGTCCTTCTGCCTCAGCCTCCTGAGTAGCTGGGACTACAGGCATGTGCCACCATGCCCGGCTAATTTTATATATATATATTAGTTGGCCAATTAATTTCTATTTATAGTAGAGACGGGGTCTCGCTCTTGCTCAGGCTGGTTTTGAACTCCCGACCTCGAGCAATCCGCCTGCCTCGGCCTCCCAGAGTGCTGGGATTACAGGCGTGGGCCACCGTGCCCGGCCTGTGGGTATATCTAAAAGGAAATGAAATCAGTATGTCAAAGAGATATTTACGTTCCCATGTTCATTACAGCACTATTCACAATAGCCAAGATATGAAATCAACCTAAGTGTCCATCAGCAGATGAACAGTCAAAAAAAAAAAATGTGGTCTATATATTTATATACAATGGAATACTATTATTTAGCCTTAAAACAGAAGGAGATCTTGTCGTTTGTGACAGCATGGATGAACCTGGGGGCCATTATGTTAAGTGAAATAAGACAGGCACAGAAAGACAAATACTACATGATCTCACTTATAAGTGGAATCTAAAAAATGTCAAATTCATAGAAACAGAGGGTAGAATGGTGGTTGGCAGGGGCTGGAGTGTGGTGGGAGGAATGGGAAGATATTGGTTAAAAGATACAAAGTTTCAGTTATACTGGATGAATAAGTTCCAGCGGTCTACTGTACAGCAAGATGACGATAGTTAATAATGTATTGTACACTTGAAAATTGCTAATAGAGTAGATCTTAAATGTTCACCACAAAAAAAGGATAAGAATGTGAGATGATGGATATGTTAATTAGCTTGATTTAATTGCTTCTCAATATATACATATCTCAAAACATCACATTGTACACCATAAGTATGTACAATTTTTATTTGTCAATTTTAGCATTACAAAGTTGGAGGAAAGTAAATAAAATTAACAAAATATAATTAGAGGAAAAGCTAATGAATGATACAACCAGGCTTTTAAAATACCTTAATCAACTGAAATAACAATGAAATTTCAGAAAAAGAAGTGCAAAGTGCTGTTTTTAGAGTTTCTAACAAAATCAAAGGCATAAACAAAATCAAATGCATACGTTTTGTGAAAAGCTAGGTTTACTACAAATTAATGCTATCTTTTAAAACACTTTATTGAAACATAACACACATGCAGAAAAATGCACAAATTATAAACGTATAGCTTGAATTACCATAATGTAAACAAATCCATGTAATACCCGTTCATATCAAGAAGACATTATCAGCAGTCCCGAAGTCTTTCTCAGGCCGTCTCCCAGTCACTCCCCGTCGCTTCTCCCCAAAGCTAACCTGATTTTTAACACTGTAGATCACCTTTAACAGCTTTTAAACTTTATATAAATGGAATCATACTGTATCTTTTGTGTTTGTGATATTCATCCGTGTTGTGCATATAATTGTTCACATTCAATGTGTATAGTATTCCATCACCTCATTATACCACTAAATATTTATCCATTCTATTATTGACCCATGTATTGTTGCCAGCTTTAGACTATTAGGATTAATACTGTTAAGAACATTCTCGTACATGTGTTTTTGTGAACATATCTATGCACTTTGTTTGGGTATATACCTAGGAGTGCAATTAATGTGTCATAGGATATACATATGTTAAACTTTAGTAGATCTTGCCAAACAGCTTTCCAAAGTGGTAGCACCAATTTACATTCTCACAAGCAAGGTACAAGAGTTCAGTTGCCGTTTTCCCCACTCAACACTTAGTATTGTCAGTCTCATCAAGTTTTAGTCATCTTGGTAGGTAAGTGGTGGTATCTGTAGTTTTGTCTTTCCCTGGTGGTACTAATGAAATAAAGCACCTTTTCAAATGCTAATAGGCCATTTTGATGCATTTTTTTTACACTTGAATAAACCCATATGTGATGCAGTTTTAAGGTACATAAGTAGTGTTCATATCTGATCTAGAGGATTGGATTTAGTCTGCCCACTTTATTTGAAGTTCATTGACTCTGGTACATGAGGAATGATGGGAGAGATTGGAAATGTTAAGTCAGGAAATAATGACATTGGGTTCAAAATGGTAGTCGTGCTCAAATATTTGGACTGAAATGTGAAAGCAGTGGGGTGAGTAGGAGACACAGGTGCCCATGCAAAGTCTAATGTGCACTCCTGGAAAAAGAATGCCCCTGTTTTCTGACGTAGGAATTTGGTTTGGCTAAGCAAGAATAAAGTTCATGGGGGAGTGTGGAGAGAGAAAGGAGAGTCAGTGTATTTTTCTTTAGCGGAGGGAGCTAGCTATAAAAGAAAAAAATGACCTTAAACAGTATGCTTTTGTAGGCTTGGATGCTCTGAAAAGGCTTCCACAGATGTGCTGAGCAGCCACAGAACTGAGACAGGACAGAGCAGAACTCAACAGGTTGGAGCTCTGTTCTTCCCTCTCCTGCCCCTGGCTCACTGACTATCTCAGCTTTCATCTCGGGTTACCACTTGTAAGATCGCCAGATTGAGCAAATAAAAATACAGGGCACCTAGTTAAACTTGAGTTTTAAATAAACAATGAATAATTTTTAGTATATATTCCAAATATTGCATTTTACCTAGCAACCCCATTGTATCTAGCAAACAGCCCCTTCAATCTTGGCAATACTACACTCTTCTCACATGAATGGTATAGACTGTTTTGCTAAAGTTTTAACACTGTATGGAAAATGGGTTAGATTTATTCTTTGTTGCTCCAGAGGACCAACTACGATTAATGACTGGCAATCACTCAGAGGCAAATATAAACAATGTAAGAATAAACATTCAAACTGGGCAGTTTTAGGAAGTGTTGAATAGCTGCCTATCTGCCTGTGAGGTTAGAGCTGATTCTTTGTTTTCAGAGACAGAGGCTCACTCTGTTGCCCTGGATAGTGGCATCATCATAGCTCACTGCAACCTCTAATTCCTGGGCTCAAGTGATCTTTCTGCCTCAGCCTCCCAAGTAGTTGGGATTACAGGTGTGTGCCACGATGCTTGGCTAATTTTTCTATTTTTTTGTAGAGATGGGGTCTCGTTCTTGCTCAGGCTGGTCTTGAACTTCAGAGCTGATTCTTTTATTTAGTGGGAAGATGAATTAGATGATTGCTAAGATTCCATTGTTTTAAGAAAGATAATTTGAGGACTTGGACAGATTCTTCTAAGTTTATGATTACTAAGCAAGGAAAGTAGATGCATTTTGAGATTAAGATAACACATTTAGAAATGAAGCTAAAGGAGGGAAAGTATTTGTTCATGGATTTAAAAGGCAGAGACATCTAAAATGAACACCCATTAAGAAAACAATAGAAATTTTCTATTTTAGAAGACATAGTCTTCTGCTTTAAGTTCTGCAACATCAGAAACTGATTAGTGATGTTTACCTTTCTATATGTACATTTCACATTAAGACCTTTTTATGTGAAACATTTTACATAGGTCACCTCATTTGATCCTCAAAACAGCACTTTGAGGGAGGCCTGATTCCTATTTTGTACATATAAAAACTGAAGCTCAGAGACATTAACTTGCCCTAGGTAACACAGCTAAAAAACCCAGGTCTGTGGGACTTGACAGTCCATGTTCTTTCTACCATACCATGCTATATCCCATTTGTATATGCTTTATGACACTTTGGGGGATGTTTATGACCTAGAGAAAAGATGTATCTAATTTTAGAGCACTTTCAGTGCATGTTGACAGTATCCTCAATTGTTTGGCCAATTCTATCAAAGATAGAGTTTGAACAGAGTGGTCACTGAGGAAGCACGGAAGTACATAGGAAGGAGGAGACCTGAGTGAAAGAACAAGCAGAATTGAGGCCCCAAAGATCAGTCGAGAGTTTCCTGAATGAGGGAAACAGTGAGTAGTTTCACTCTGTTTAACCTCAGAAGCACCCAAAAGTGAAAATTAAAGAGAAATTACAGATCCATTATCCATTGTTTCTCTCAACATCTCTTCTAGAATTTTCTAATAGATTTCAGCTTAAATTCAACTTTTCATCAATATGTAAAGTCAGGTTTCATTAAGAGTCCAAAGGGAGAAGATACTCTGAACTTAAAGGGATAGTGTTATCTGTCACAAAAGCTTGCCTGACCGCTCTAGCCATGATACTTTTTCTTCTGATCTATTATGGCACTTAAGGTCTATAAATTTGTGTGGCTTATCTTCCATATAAATACCCTTATCTTTTTAACTGTTTATATTTAGTCTTCCTCTGAATTAGTAAACTCCTTATTTGGAGACCATGTTCTACATGTCTGTTTTCGCCGCTGCATCTTCCTAGTGCCCCCTTGACATAGTAGGCACTTGTTATTTGATGACTGATTAAAAAGGAGGATACATGTAAGAAATTGCAGAAAAGAGGCAAATAAAGAGGGTAAGCTAGAAAGATAAGAGTAGCCAGGATAAAAAAAAAAAAAAAAAAAAAAAAAAGAGTAGCCAGGATAAATAAGATGAGGTAACATATAGCCTTCTCACTTCTCACTTAAAAGGCTGACAGAGAGATATATATACAAGCTTGAACTTTCACTCCTAGCCCAAGGCTTTCCCACTTTCCTTTCAGCTTCAATAGCTGTCTTCTTCCTTACAGTGGCCCTAATCTTTAGCTCTGCACCCATTCTTTCTACTGAGACTCCTACTTCCACATACCTCCTCTTCCTTCAAGACTGAAGAAAAGTCAGAGTCTGGATTTTTTAGGAGTGCAGAAAACCAGAAAGGGGCCTGGGTGTCATTATTCTGCAGACGGCAGAACTGCCATGTCTGTCTATAACTGATCCATAAAATGACAGTTTTGGCTAAAAGCCGTTTTCCAGGCCACACCCTCAGCAGAAGCTCATTGTTTCACGGGCACTGACTTTGCTTCTGATTGGTTGGCACTGCCCTCCCCTCCCCCACCAATCTCAGTGGCCTCCTGCTCATTAAAGGACAAGCTCAGTTTCCAGTTCTCTTGTCCTGACATGTGGGGCAAGGGTCAGGGATATATGACCTCCAAAGTAGCTTACACAATTCTTTCCTTGACCACGTGGAGGGTGTTTGAAATTAGACAATAGTTGGCAGGTGATTAGTTATCATAGAACTGTCTCCAGAGTAAGCAAACACCTAACTTTAGTCAATAATGATTACAGTTTGTACCAGGACTATGACATTTACCAGTTATAATGAATTCAGTACTCATCTTCAGAGATTTTTGTGAGGTAAATTTTTGTTTGAAGAATTACATACCTATCTTTTCTAACTAGTCAAGTGCATACTTCTGGCCAAATTTATCCCATAGAAAACCTGAAATCCAACATGGCACTAGATTTGAGTTTTCTTCATCAAATGTGATAAACTGGGAAAATGTGTTTTAAGAGGGTGGAATATTTTCTAACAGCTTAAATCACGTTTTCTAGGTGATCTTATATATATCACAACCGCAACGAACATTTAGGGGCACATATTTAAAATTCGAATTAAAAAAATCTAATTAAAAAACAAGCAAATGTTCTCAAAGCTTTGCCTGATAGTTAAATTTACTATGTGCTTCAAAATGTTGTAAAACAGTTGTCTTGAGGAAAAAAAGAGGTTCATTTAAATTATGTTTGTTGAGTGACTTTAATAGTGAGTTGTGGAAATCAGTCTTATTATTAGAATCATACCTCATATAATTAAACACCTATAGGGACAGAGCCAGTCTTAATAAATGCCAGCACTTTGTTTCATTATATAAATAAGTTCCAATAGATACTTTTGCTTTATACAGAGCAACCTGGGCTTTAAAGTCAATCCTTGTTAACATTCAACCTTTGCTATCATTTTAACAACTGAAAGAAAATCTGTTTACCATGGAGAAGCAGCTACATTGAGGTATCTTGGATCAATGTTTCCTTGAAATGAATGCCAAACCAGAAAAGAGATTAAAGAATTTATCTCTTATTCAGCATTCTCCACATTGCCTCCCACTCCCTACCCCAAGCAGCTTATTTTTTTGCTGTAAATTATGAAAGTCTTAGGAGTTTTAGTAATTAGTTCAGAAGGTGTGTAAATAGGTTAACACAGCATATACTTTTTGCAGCAAGATTAAAACTTCCTTAGCCTAAGAAAGTATTTTCTGGATCAACTTCAATTAATGAGCTTACCATTTTCTAACCTTTCTACATTTAACACTCATCATGGACCAGGCACTGTATTAAAACATTATTTCAATCTTTACTACAACCCTGTGAAGTACTATTATTATCGTTTTACTCTTGAAAATACTAAAGCTCAGCGACAGAGGTTACCAAGGTCTCATAGTTAATATGTGGCAGAGTTGAATTGAAACCCAGGCTTTCCAGACCTGGCACTGAGAAAACTTACCTAAGGAGGCCATCAGTAAGGACCTATTAGAAAATTGTGATGTGGAATTCAACTCAACTATAGCAATCAAGTGATTTGTACCATTGTAGAAGGTATTTTTATGAAGTTCAGTATCTATTACACATGATAGTAAGGACATCTAATACATAAATTCTTTACCAAGTTTTTGAGAGTGGTTGTGAAATTGATCAATGGATGACGTGTTCTAAGTGGCAATAAACGTTTTTGACAGGATACATATGAGTCATTTAGATTCAAAAATAGGATGGATTGAAAGGTTCTGGGCAGAAAGGAAGCATGTGATGGCAGTTTATCAATTAAACTTCTGAGACGAAAGGAGGAATGCCTGTGCATCTATCTATTAATAAATGCTATGATGATTCTGACTGACAAGTGGGGCTTAGGAAAACCTACATAGGAAAGAGTAGGTTTTAATGAAAAGTGAAATACCAATTCAACAAATACATTTTAATAAACTATTTTTGTGTTTATGCCATCTTTCATAACATATGTTTTTCCTAAATGCCTAACCTAGGAAACACATGTGTGCAAACACATGCCAAACAAATGAATACAACAGTGTGATTTATTGAAAAGAAAACAATAATAATTTAATTCTTCAGAACCTCTTTGCTTTTACCTATGTCAAATTCTCTAATCCTTTCTCCTCAAAGATAGACTATAGTTAAGGGATAAATGATAAAGTAAAAGATTTTCAACTGCTAATTGCTAAATCTTCATCAGTTATATTATTCAAAAAGTTCTCTTTTGTCTTGTTTCTTCAAATTTTGAAATAAGTTGTTCTGCTGATTTATCTGACTACAATTCTAATGAAGACCGGCTTTATTAGCACTTTTAGAAAAAGACTCAGTACTCCACGTTGAAGGCCAAATCAAATGGACTGTTATTTCTAGTGTGGAGTAATCTATGCCCAATCTCTCCTTACAATGGGGAACAATGGGGACAAAGGTCCCAAACATTTACAGAAAGCCTACTTAGGTCTCAGGTACTGTGCTAGGCTCTTTCCCTAAATTGCCCAAAGTCATAGCATATAAGTTACATACAGATCCAAGATTCAAATTCAGGTCTGTCTGACTCTAGAGCCTTTTCTGCTACATTATATCAGTTACTGAGTATAATTCAAAAATGTAATACTTATCATGGACCAGGCACTGTGTTAATACATCTCAATTACTCTTTACAACAATCCTATTTAAAAATCTGTGGCAGTAAATGAACTTTATACAATAGATATAAAAAAAATCAAGATTTTTCATGCAAGCTAAAATATCTAAAAATAGTTTGAGGTCATCTTGATAGCCATTCCGCTATCTATTTCTCACTTTCTTCAGCAATATTTCCTTTCACTTATAGCTACTTGACCATCCTACACTAAATAGATTATTTAATCTTCCAACTGTCTTTCAACTTGCTTGAGTCTTGTGTGCTTTTATAGAGACACACTTTGGCTAACTAGAACAGAAAGAGGCTGGGGGTATATATATGCCAGTATGATTTATTAGGGATAAATGGTAGAAAAAATGTTACTAATATCTCTATATAAGTTCCTTAAGTCATATGTAAAGAGAGACTGTTATTAAAAGTTTGCTTTATTTAACTGTTGAATCAGGCACAGATTTTTTTGTGCCTTTTAAGTGTCAGCACAGTTAACATTGCCTTATCTAGAATCAAACAATAAACTAGGTTCCAGTGGTTATGTTCAACATCTAGAGTGTTCAGGACATCAGGAACTCTTTCAATTATTTGCTTTAGCTTTTAGTTCTTGGTTATATCTATAAAGAAAACAGAAAGAAAAATAACCATCAATAAAAACATAATATTTATGGTAGGGAGAGAATGGGAAGCATATTTCATTCCTTTTTTCCTAGTTGTCTAGTGGCTATAGATTACAATTATCATCCTTCTAGGAGGTTATAGACATAACAAGCAGAAAGGAAAGTGATCCAAATAGTTCATTTCCATCTGATTCGTGTTTCAGATAATAAGATCTCAACTGCCAATTTTTTTTTTGTTTGTTTTTAGAGACAGAGTCTCATTTTGTTACCCAGGCTGGAGTGAAGTGACATAATCATACCTCACCACAACCTCAAACTCCTGGGCTCAAGCAATCCTCCTGCCTTAGACCCCTGAAAAGCTGGGGCTACAGGTATGCGCCACTATTCCCAAACAATTTTTAAAATTTTTCTAGGGACAAGGTCTCGCTATGTTGCCTAGGCTGGTCTCAAACTCTTGGTTTCAAGTGATCCTCCTGTCTCAGCCTCCTGAGTTGCTGGGATTATACGTATGAGCCACTGTGCTTGGCTCCCAAGTACCAAAAAATTTTAATAGCTTAACTGACATATAGTTTCCCTGTGCAAAAGTATTATCTTAATGAATATTTTCATTCTTACACTATACAAGAGCGTGACAAATGTGATCCTATGAATAAAATTTAGCAAAATGTGGTCATCTAGAATTTTTTACTTTACATTCACAAAGCACCTTTTCTAAGAATAAAATCAACAGGGAATGGGCTCCTGTCTAATCATTAAAACGAAAATATATATCTGTGATGGCTACTAGGTTAATCAGATTGTAAACACTGAAGTTTATTGAAGTTAAGGACCATTTTTTCAATTCTCAGTCCAAAGAAGCACAGAGCCACAGAGTCTTTCCCTTCTACAACACCCTGGGCTTTATTTACTATTCTTGCCAGCTTACAACAGAGTGGAGAACAGTAAAGCACAAGAAGGAACTTATTCCATGAAGCCAGTCATACTTCCTGGATTTCTCAAAAGATCCTGATTTCAAATATTTGATCATATTATTACCATCAGTCATTGACAAATAATGTTAAATACTGAATAGTTTTAATAAATTCCAGTGCTCATGGAACACTTTCCAATGAAATGAATTACCTCACTCTATCATTTCCAATACTACATAACTATACAGTTAAATCCTACTTTATTATATACAGTTGAAAGTGAGTGATAAAAGGTTCATGTAGGATATTATTTAATAAATCAAAAATTGTACCTGTTGTCTTAACAAAAGGGACTCTATGAAAGGGCTAGCCATCTAGACAATGCACAAAAAAACTAAGTAACATATCGCTTAACTGCTTTTAACATACTTGTAAACTCCCAGACTTTACTAGAAATGTTAAATTTCTAATTTAGGCACATTCCTGTCTTAGCATTGTATATGAATCTTTTATTTATTTTATTTTTTGAGGCAGAGTCTCACTCTGTTGCCTGGGCTAGAGTGCCCTGGCGTCAGCCTAGCTCACAGCAACCTCAAACTCCTGGGCTTAAGAGGCTGAGGCCTGCCTCAGCCTCCCACAGAGCTGGGACTACAGGCATGTGCCACCATGCCCGGCTAATTTTTTCTATATAATTTTAGTTGGCCAATTAATGTATTTCTATTTTTAGTAGAGATGGGGTCTCGCTCTTGCTCAGGCTGGTCTTGAACTCCTGAGCTTGTATGATCCGCCTGCCTTGGCCTCCCAGAGTGCTAGTGTAATCACAGGCGTGAGCCACCGCGCCCGGCTGTATATGAATCTTTTAAACAAAATTATTGTAATCTGAGTAGCTTCTCAAGCAGATTGTTTTTTATACTTTTGGTAGGCTTACCTCCAAATTCGAAAAAGCTGAGAGGCTCCTGCTGTCCCCACAAAGAAATTAACAGCAAACAGACTCCAATTTTTTGGAATAATTACAAGTGAATATCTTGACCAAATAAACCCTGTTGAAACAAAGTATTTTTTAAAAAGCACAGGTACTGCTATAATAACTTACCTGAACATTTAATATTAAGTAAAATAATTACAAAGAGGACTATGACAACAATAATGTAAGATGAAGGACAAAGAAATGCTGTGTCTTAATCTTTAATAAAGTTTCTATAACTCAATACTACACAAAATAGTACATTAAAGGGGAATCTTTATAGGGCAAGTGAATATTAACTGCAACTTTTTTCCTTACTTATAAAAATATACTGATGGCAAAAATCTGGAAAACAAAAACTCATGCAGATATTTATTCTTTCTCTGTCCTCTCCATCCATAATTTAGTAACTTCCTAGACATAACACTGTTAAGTGCCTTTACGTGTATGAGTGTATGCGTATGTGTTTCGAACACTAAGCCATTAAATAAATTGATGTAAAACAAAATAAAAATCATTTATGTTCTATATGGAACACAGAAGATATTCATTTAATTTACCTGTAGCCATTAAAACAGCAGATTGAGCTGTGCTGAGTTTTTCTGCAGGTCTGGCCATGTCAGCCAATCCAGCACACACCAACCCCTAGGAATACATATTAACATACAGAAAGAAAAAAAGCATAATGAGTGTGGAGTAATGGTTTTTAGCTTTAAATCAAACACAAAATGTTTCTGAGAGTCCCATATGAAAAGTATAATTTTAGCATCCATGCATTAAGAAAATGTAGATCATGACAAAAAGCAATGATGAATAAATGCTCTTTGAGCTAATTTTTATTTTGATAATCACTAAGCACTCTCATATATTTGAAAATCAGTAGTATATAGCCTCATATATCTGAAAATCAGTTTTTTGAGTCTACAAATGATACTTACTTCACATATGAACTTATATATTCTTTATATATGTTGGAAACCACTGGTATGGAGGATATCTGAAAGCTGTCTAAGGTCCCTTGTATAGATTATTCCTTTCATGTTTTCTGTCAATGTTATTCTTTTTTAGAAGTGGAAGTATCAGGAAAACTCTCTGTTATAATTTTAGGTTTTTGGTTAGATCATTTTTCTTTAACACCAAAGTATATATGGTCATTTCTTCTCTGCTATGTTTTTAATATTTTCTTTTATAGAATCATCCTGTGCCTATCCTTCCAACGGCATCCTCAGAGTTTACTAATGAGTCCTCACTAGAATATTGGTTACGCTACTTTATTGAAGAATATATAATAAAATGATTTTCATTAATGAAAAATTCAAACCTACACAAAATAAGAGAGAATAGTACCAAAAATCTCCACACAGTTATCACCTAGAGTCAGTAATTATTGAGAGTTTGCCACACTTGCTTCGCATCCCTTCCTCATTCCCCCTCTTTATTTTTAAGTATTTTAAAGCAAATGTTAAATATGTCATTACAAAATACATTTTTGAGAAATTATTTTTAGGTTTTTACTGAGTTTCTAAAAGATGCTCTTGTATGGAAAATATACATCAGCAAAGGGTTTTGCTCCTAAATAAAACACACATATTTATGAATTTTTATATAGATTTAAAACAAGTCCAAATTGTTTTGAATTAATGAAGTTAATAGTTCAAGAAAGCAATGAGTCTAGTTTAAAAAGGGGTAAATGGTTAAATACAGGGATATAAATAGAGGTAAATGATGACTAACACTACTTTTCTTCTTATTAGCATTTGCACATGGTCCTGTGATTTCTTCCCAAATGCCTTCCTAATCATCCGTCCTTTATCCTTCTTCCAGGTCACAGTGCACATTTTTTTTTGCTCTATATTTGTTCTATTTCTTCTGTAGGGTGGAAAACTGCTATTATATAAGGAAAAAAGGGACTGACTTTTACTATTATTCTACTGCATCCATGTATTGCACTGTGGCTTACTGAACAGTTCTATGAAGACTATGGGCTATATTCTAGCATTCTCTTTTGGAAGAAGTCAGCAGTCATGATTGTTTATGCTCTCAGTATACATTTGATTTTTCTGGGATATGTTAGTAATTGTTCTCTTTCGCAAAGGCCTTGAGATCCTTTTCCCATGTTTCTAAAAAATCTCTTTCTACTTCAATATCACTCTAACCTTATGTAAATTATTTTGCAAAACCTCATCATGAATCTAATCTCTATTATTTATCAGCTCTGTGACTTTGATCAAGTTATATAACAACCAGTCTTAAAATTCTTCATAGGTAAAATGAGAATATTAGTACCTACCCTTGCAAGAGTGACATGATGACTAAATGAGATACTTTAAAAGTATTTAGCACAGTGCCTGAAAATATTATCATTAGCAACAAAAATAACAGTAGCTCATATCTTTAGAGCAGCACAGATAAAGAAATGTTAGTTTATATACCCTTTCCTGCATTACTAGCAAGATGAGGGGCAGAAGGTGTATGTTCTGTTTTACCTTTATTATGGACTTTGTTCAAATAACAGTACTGTAGATTCAGAAAGTGCTTAGAGTATACCACAAGATTATATAAAATACTCCCCAACATACTAAGAAAGTATCAGTTTTAGACAGATCCATCATGATTATTTTAAAGCTGCTAAAATAAGTGTTTAAGAGCACAGGCTTTGGAGTCAAATAGACCTAGAGAATCAAATCCTGATTCTGCCACTTACTAATAGTAGTAGTATGTACAGTTATATAGTTCTTTGAACCTTAGTACCCTTACCTAGAAGATAGTGGTAATATTTATTTCTCAGATTTTGGGGGGGTGAAGA